TTTTGCCATTGGGTGCTGTTAAAATTATGACATGAGGAGCTGGAGAGAAAGCTCAGTAGTTAAGAGCACTTACTGCTCTTGGAGAGGACCTGGGTTTAGCTCCCAGCACCCATGTCCGGTGGCTCACAAACACCTATAACTCCAGTTCCTCGGGATCCAGGCCTCTAGAGAGCACCTGCAGCATACATGGTGCACATATAGACAAGTGGGCACATATACATACGCATAAATAAGAACATTTAAAATTATGGTATTGTGAATCAGAACATTTATAACTGATGAGGTTAGCTTGCATGTCATGTTGCTTCCTCTCGTTGGGGTTGGCAATGTGCTAGTGGGCTTACAAGTCTGTTTCAGCCTCCATTTGTTTTGCTTCCACACCAACTGAAATGCTCAACAGAGGCAGTTGAATAAAATAGGTAAGGGCATTTTTTTTTTTCTTTAATGTGCTCTGGGGATGTGGAGATGACGCAGTAAAGGGTTTGCCATTTGGTATAAGCATGAGGACCTGAGTACAGTCCTCAGAACCTATGTAAAAATCCAGATGGGCTGGAGAGATGGTTCGGTGGTTAAGAGCACTGGCTGCTCTTGCAGGGTCTCAGGTTCAGATCCCAGCACCCATATCGTAGCTACAACTGTCCATAACTCCAGTTCCAGGGGATCTGACACCCTCTTCTGACCTCTGCAGGCATTGTACAACATGGGTAGCACCTACCTACATGCAGGCAATGCACCATACACATAAAATAAAAACAGTTAAAATAAAAGCCAGGCACAATGGTGTGCATTTGTAATCCCAGCACTGGGGAGGAGGAGCAGGATCCTTGGGGCCTGCTAGCCAACCAGTCTAGTTAAACCTGTGAGCTTCACATTCAGTGAAAGACCCTGTCTCAAAAAATAAGGTGGAGACCAGTTCACGAAGACATTTAATGTCAACTTCTGGCTCACACACATGCCCACACACAAAATACTCTGCCAGAGAAATCTGGAAGTATATCACATTTCTTATGAAGGTGGAAATGAATGTCATTTTTATAGATTTTGATAAATAAAATGCAACAAATACAGTGTTTTCTTTGTTTCATTTGCAATGTTAAGTATTAGGAGAAAGACCTTAAAGTCAACTTGATAGTAGTCCTCTTCAACTTAAGGTCTAATTATTTTAAATATTTTACTTATTTATTTATTTTTTTATTTTAATTAATTTTTTTGGTCTTTTTGAGACAGGGTCTCCCTGTAGCCACAGCTGGCCTGGATTCACTATGGAGACCAGGCTGGCCTTGAACTCACAGAGATCTGCTGGCCTCTGCCTCCCGACTGCTAGGATCCCAGCAAGCCTGGCTTTGTTCATTAATTTTATTTTATGTGTATGGTTGTATTGCCTGCATGTATGTAAGTGCACCCGTGTCATACAATTTTCATGGAGATCAGAAGAGGGCATCAGATCCTTGGAACTGGAGTTACAGATGGTTGTTAGCTGCCATGTAGGTGCTTGGAATTGAACCCGGGTCCTCTGCAAGAGCAGTCAATGCTCTTAACCTCTGAGCCATTTCTTCTGCTCCAGGTCTATTTATTTTAAAGAAGAAGAGTTTGTAAATGTTTATCAACTCAAATTAAATTTTGGAAAACTAAGTATGAGGCTCAAGAGGTTGACAGTAGGCCAGACATGGCGGTGCATGGCTGGAATCCTAGGCTGAGGCCGAGGCTTTGAAAGTTCCAGGCTGGCCTACAGCTACATAGAGAGAACTTCTGCTTTATTTTGTTTCAGTGTTTTGTTTGGTTTTTCTTGGGCAGGGGGTTGTGTTTCTGCTATAGTAAGTGTAAAATACACAGCGTCATTTATTTTTACAGATTTTTTTAATTGAGGTATATATA